ATTTACTTATTCCCAAGAAATAATTTTTATTTAGTATAACAATTAAAGACTATTTAGTTTTTGAAATATAATTTGATGAATTATTTTAAGTTTTTTAAACGATAATGTTATTTTGATTGAAAAACTTAAATGTATGGATTGAAGATAATATAGCTCTTAAGCCATGAAAATCTAAATCAAGACAAGAAATTCTTAAAGCAAAATAATCATTTGTCTTCCAAAATAAATTCTTAGATCAAGAAAATATTTCTTGAGTCAACATAAATTTTCTATCAGTGTACAAAACTAGGGTTTCTAACTTCTATGCAATCGACAAAAATATATATTGACGGAAAAATTAAAAAACCAGTGCAATAGCAAATTTCATAGTTGGCATAGCAGAATAGGACATAATTTTAAGACTACACATATAATATGGTACTCAAATTGAAGCTTATTTAAAGAGCTTTCAGATGCAATTTACAGAGATTCAATAAGTTATCCCATTCCAAAGTTATTCGGGTTAAAAAGTGAAAAAATATGAATTTTTATAATTTCGAAAATTTTGACATCCTGGCATTTCTAAAAAATTTTACGGCTACACATATAATATGGTATTGAAATTAAAGCTTATTTAAAGATCTTTCAAATGCATTTTACAGAATTTCAATAGGTTATCCCATTCAAAAGTTATTCAAGTAAGAAAGTAAAGAAATATGAATTTTTATGATTTTCAAAATTTTGAAATCCTGGTATTTCTAAATTACTTGACCGATTAAGCTCATCTTCGAACTTGACTTTGGTATTTATCTGTAGAATAAATATATTGAGTTTGGTAGAGATCCGTTGTAAATTGGCGACGCTATCGTCGTGACAAGCCGCGTTATATCCGATATATATATAAATATATATACATACATAAACTTTTGAACCGTATGCATTTTCCGACTCAGCTCGACGAGTATAGTCGAAATATAGCAAAATTTTTTAAAAGTTCTGTCATGAGGACCAATGCAATAGTTGGATTTCTATGAAATCTACTAAAAATGCCAAACTTGTCAAATTTTTGAAAATCGTCAAAAATGACGATCAACATTAAAATTTTGGCTCAATTTTATAACATCCCGCTAAGAAAAATTGAAAATTTTTTGAAATTCGGAAAGTTATTGGTTTTACCCTGTTTTGCGAAAATCGAGTTTTCATCAGATCTCGACGTTTTTAGGTCATAGGAAGCTTCCCTGACTATTCCCGCGATGGTGCCCGTGCGGCTGTATGTATATATATTAGGGTGGCGCAAAAAAACCGACTATTTTTAACTTTCCGCTAAAAATCTCAGATTTTCAGATATCGGGAAGTTATTGTTTTCACCCCGTTTTGCAAAAATTGAGTTTTTATCGGATGTCGACGTTTGAAGGTCACAGGAAGCTTCCCTGACTATCCCCGCGAGGTTGTCACTATGTCTGTATGTATGTGTGTATGTGTATGAGTGTGTGTGTGTTTTTTTTTTCCCTTAGGGGGGGGGAATCCTTTTTACGGATTCTAGGCGTAGCTGTTTGGCCTGGATATGTGGCGACTCGACGCAGCGTCATACTAAAACTCGACGCTAACGCCCCTACCCGCTAAACCCTAAACCCCTTTCCTCTTTCCTCTCATGGAAACCGCCGCTAGGCATTACTTCGTGGGGGGAGGATATAGCGACTGCTCTTCCTTCTGGTAACTAAGGTATTATTTTACCTTTCTTCTAGTTGTTGTCATTTGCTCTTTTTCTTTCGATGGAACGTAAGTTTATAAGGACTTCTGTTGCAAACGTGTTTGCGGCGTTCCAGGCAGCCTCTGATGACAGCATTGCTTCTACTATTGTCTCTGGTTGGATTTTCTTCTTGCCAGTTTACCGTATTCATCCACCGATGGACTCGCTCGAAGGTGATGTCGAACATGTTGTTAATTTCGTCAAGATGTTTAGCAACTATTACTACGGCTACGTCGTCTGCAAATGCTACGAGTTTTACACTTCTTGGCAATTTCAATCTCAATAGGCCATCGTACATGATATTCCACAGCAGTGGACCAAGTACAGAGCCCTGGGGTACACCTCCGGTAATATCGTACTCTTTTGGACCATTCTTCGTGTCGTATTCAAGAACTCTATCGGTGTAATAGCTGGCCACTATTCTATACAGGTATTCTGGAACGTTTTTCTCTCGAAGAGCTTGCATGATGCAGTTCCAGTTGGCGGAATTAAAGGCGTTGTGTGTGTGTATGTGTGTGTGTGTGTGTGTGTGTGTGTGTGTGTGTGTGTTTTTCTTTTTTGGGGGGGAATCCTTTTTACGGATTCTAGGTATAGATGTTGGTAACATCTGCGTTAAGTAATAGTTGATCTCACCGTGACTCCGGTTGAACCACTCTTCAATCCGAGGTATGAGACGGTACGTCCACCGACCCTTATCTGAAGCGTTCCACTCTTGTTGCCATCTTGCGATGCTGTGTTGCCGTTCTTCGCTTCTAAGTTTTTCAGGGCTCAGTGTGGTTGACCTTTTTCGCTGATATAGGTTCCGTCTTTCTTCAGCTAGGACTCTGAGAGGTCGAGTTCCAGAAATGACGCACACTGCTTTCTCAGATATTGTGCGGAAGGCGCAAGCTACTCTTAAGGCACTTAGACGGTATACTGGCCCATCCTTTCTCCATGCTTCTTGTAATTCTAGCGCATTAGCCCATATGGATATTCCGTACGTAAGCACTGATGTGATTACTGATGTGACTACAGTTGCCAACAATAGTCTCCTACTTTGCTTTGGCCCTCCGACGTTAGGCATTAGTCGTGCTAGACTAGCCCTCACTACTGATGCTTTGGCATTGACATGCTCCACTTGCTGCTTGATGTTGAGTCGGGCATCAAGCATCACTCCCAGATATCGGATATGAGGTTGTGATGTGATTTCTTGTTCGCCGCCTTTCAGCTTAATGGTCTCTACCACTTTTTTGCTGGTAATAAGCACTGCCTCAGTTGTGTTGCGCCAGTTGCAGGTTCACTGCGTCCTTCCACCGGTTAACGCGCTCAAAAGTGAGATCAAATATATGGTTTATCTCGTCAAGGTGTTTGGCAACAGTCACTACGGCTACGTCATCTGCGAGTTTGACGAGTTTGACGTTTCTTGGCAGAGTTAGTCTTAATAGACCGTCATACATAATATTCCATAGGAGTGGGCCTAGAACTGAACCTTGTGGTACACCTCCAGTAATATCATACTCCCTCGGACCGTTCTTCGTGTCATACTCCAAGACCCTATTTTCAAAGTAGCTTGTTACGATCTTAAGAAGGTATTCTGGTACATTCTTCTCTTGGAGGGCCTGCATGATGCATTCCCAATTGGCGGAGTTGAATTCGTTTCTGATGTCTAGGGTCGCCACCAGGCAATACTCTTTCGTTCCACCCTTCCATCTGGTTCCTGCGATTGCTTCCTTGGCCGTATCAACAACCAGTTTGATTGCGTCCAGGGTTGATCGTCCTTTCCGGAATCCATACTGATTGTCTGCCGGCCAACTTTTGAACGGTTGAACCGATTTCATCGTGGTTGGTGGCTTTCGAAAGGGCTTTGCCAAGCTTAGATTTCCTGAGAATTTGAACCGATTCGGACCGATAGATTTTGAGAAATTTTGAAAAATCTCAAAAAAAATAAGAAAAAAATCATTTTTGAAAGTGGCTTTTTTGGAATATCTTTTAAACGGCTCGATCGATCAACTTCAAAAACTAATCCTTGACCTTGAAAAACTACGCCGATCGGCGCTAATCCGGTCAAAATCGGTTGATTCGTTAGAGAGATAGCGTCGAGAGATAGCGTGAACGAAAGAAAAGCGAAAAAAACCGAAAAAAGTGTTTTTTTCACATAACTTCGTCATTTCTTTTCGGATCGTTTTTGATGACATGGAATAATTTTTATAACTCAAAAAACCGCGTGGATAGCCGCCAATAACGTAATAATCAGTTGATTGGTTCGAGAGATATCCTCGACGAAATATTTGGAAATAAGGATTTTTTCAACATAACTCCGACATTTTTTGGAATAACTTTCAAACAGCTCTACCGATTGATTCCAAAAACTATTTAGCTCTTAACATTAAAAAACCACGTCGATTGCCAGCTGGTCAAAATCAGTTGATTCGTTCGAGAGACATCGTGAACGAAAGAAAACCGAAAAAAGTGTTTTTTCGGGATTACTTCGAAATTTTCGGTTCGATCAATTGAAACCTGAAAATCACTTATGAGGATGATAAAACTGCGTCGAATAGCGCCAACCACTATTTATTTTTTATTTAATATTTTTTCTCGTTACGGTATAATTTTATAGACCAAAAAAAATAAGTTTCTGAAAGTTTCAGTTCAAAATTTAAATTTTGAAAGGTCGCTCATAATTTTTTTTATTTTTCGTTAATTAGTCATATCGCCAACTTTAAGTGTTAGGAGTGGTACGTTGGAGTCTTTTTGGTTTGAAAAAATCTTAACCTACGTGACAAGGTCAAATCTCAACCAAGCTGGTTTCTAAGACCAGCTTGGGATTCGAACTCATGCCTGGCAGTTGATTAAATAAAATTATTTTTTTTCTTTTTTTTTTTTTTAAATTATTTATTTAACGTCGCTTTAACCATTTGGTCTTAGGCGACAGATCAAAATATATTTACAGAGTTTAATTTTGGATAGGTGGATAGTATATTATCAGGACTGAAGGTCCGTAATTATTTTATACATAAATTATATTTTTAATTTAATTTTCTTGATCATGTCAGCAAATCGTTTTTTCTGCCCTACGGCCGAAAAGTGGCAACTTTCTGGCCGCTGCGCTAAACAAAGTTGCCACATTCCGGCTACGTCGAGCAGAAAAATAGTATACACACCTTGGCCAGTAAAAAGTAAAGCCTCAGATCACATGTTTGTCAACCTCGGCTTCGCCTCGACCAACAATTACATGTGATCTGAGACTTTTCTTATTTTACTGGCCTAGGTATGTAATATACTATATTTTACTTTTGTCGTTGAGGATTTGGTCCATCTCGTTAGGAAGCTGCTGTGCATTTCTCTGTTGATTCAAGTTTGGACAGGTGATAAGGTGTTTTACTGAGATGATTACATTGCATCCAGGGCAATTGTCAGGATTGGAACTGTTCATTAGGTGTCCGTGGGAAAACTGTGTATGGCCTATTCTAAGACGTGTACATATACATTGTTTTGATCTTGAGTTAAATTGAGGGGAGGTTTTCCAGATGTTATGTCTTATCTCGTGTAGGTGAGTGGGTTTTATAGATGACTATAAGATGCTCCATTGGGCGTTGATATCTCTTTTGATTTTACTTTTATAGTCGCTGATCGAGACAGGGAGATTAGTGAGATCAGTTCCACTTGTGAGGGCTAATTTGGCTTGCTCATCGGCCAGTTCATTACCTGAAATCCTTGAGTGGGCTGGTATCCACGCCATTACTATGTCGCACGTATTTGAAAGATTGAGCAGTTTTTGTTGACTTTCTTGTATCGCTGAGATGTCACTGTATGGGTTCATCAGGCTTTGGATCGACGATAGTGAGTCAGTACAAATTATAACTTGCTTAAGTTGATTATTTTTTATTATATCTAAGCTTAATGAGATAGCTGTTAGTTCACATGAGAAGACAGAGTATTCTGGTTGGAGTTTAAATTTTAGTGTTGTCTCGTTGAAGCATATTGCACACCCGCGGAGATTATTGAGAGAAGCCCCATCGGTGTAGATCTTTGTGTGAGTTGGATATTTGCTGATAATTTCAGAGAAAAGTTGATTTTATACTATTGTGGAGGTGTTACTTTTATCACCGGATTTGGTTCTGATGGATAGGTCAAAGTTATTATATCTTGGTGTCCATGGAGATATAGGATTAATGTGGGGAGCTTGGCAAGAGATATTTTCAAGTTCGGAGTTAGACATATATTTGTTTAATGACGAGATGTATGACTTCTTGTTATTAGGTTGATTTGGATGGTTTAGGAGTAAGTTGGTGGAGGCTGGTTTGAAGTTTAAACATAACTGTGTTCGTCGTAGGCTTAGTGGTGGCTCATTAGCTTCAGCGAGTATGCTGGTTCTCGGGCTTGAACGGAAAGCACCAATAGTCAATCGGAGGGCTGAAGTTTGGATTGAATCCAGCTTCTTTTTTTGAGTGTTGGAGGCGGAGTTGTATAAGATAGCTCCGTAGTCAAGCGTGGATCTGGTAAGTGATATTTTATTTTATTTATTATTTATTTATTTATTTTACTTCTGATATACATTCTATAGAGGTGCATAACACCTGTGCATAGACACCAGAAAAATACAATAATATTTAATTATATATAAATCGTGTTAAAAAATTCATTAGCCAATACAATGTACAAAGTATAAGTTTCCTTACGACTAAATATACAATATTTTGCTATCTAATATAGTATCAAATTATAATTCATTAGATCTAATCCACCTCCCAAAATTCTTGCTTAATAAGTTCTTTTTGCATTCAAGAGCTTTTAGATTATTGGGAATTAGATTGAAATATTTTATTGCCACAAAAAACGCATTTTTGGTACTTAGAGTTTTACTAATTTTTGCTAAAGTTATCTGTCTATTACGTGTATTTATAAACCTCTCAGTGTGCATTAATTTACAATCTGTAAAATAATAAGTAAGCACACTCACAACAAAATACTGGTTAATTTTTAAAGGTACTAACATTTCATTTTCTATTTTCATTTTACTTATCAATTTATTCTGCAAATTTATAATAGGTTTCATCGTATTATCATATGCACCACCCCAAGCAATGATTCCATAGCTTATAACACTTTCGAATAGACCATGATATATTGTTTTCAGTATAGATGGGTGTAGCCAATTACTTAATTTATAGAATAAAAAAGTGAAATACTTGACTTTTTTAATCAGCTCAGTTACATGCTTGTTCCATTTCATATGACAGTCATACACAACCCCTAAATATTTACAGCTTTCTACTCTTTTCAGTTTTCTATCTTTAATAAACAAATGAAAATTAGTGGGAACACTATCAATGTAGCTTCCAAAAGTAATGTATGTAGACTTATGAAGTTTTTTAACCATTCAGTCAGACATTCACGAACTACTTGCCAACTACTTCCACTGCACAGGACTGCTGTATCATAAGAAACTAGTGCATTCGCTGGTACAATATTAAATATATCATCAATATACAAAATGAAAAGAAGTGGTCCCAAAATAGTTCCTTGAGGAACCCCAATTTTCACAGATCTATAATCACTAGTATAATTATTTATTTTGACACACTGCTCTCTATTCGATAAATAATTATCAATCAATTTATGAGGCAGACCTCTTATTCCCTTACGCCATAGTTTATTTAGAAGAATTTTATGATTCACTGTGTCAAAAGCTTTAGCAAGATCCAAGAAAACTAACACGGTAGCTAGGTTTTTATCCAAATTATTGTAAATAAAGTTAGAGGTAAAAGCTAAGGCATCATCAGTGCCTCTATTCTTCATGAAACCATATTGATTGTTTGCGATCAAATTATTACAAATACAAAAATTATATAATCTAATATATGTGATTTTTTCAAAGATTTTAGCCAAGTTAGAAATCAAAGAAATAGGTTTGTAATTGGTAGCCAGATGGGCGTTACCAGACTTGTAAATTGGAATAATATCAGCTTTCTTCAAAGCAGTGGGTCAGATGGCTCTGCTTATGCAGTTATTAATGATATATTCTAAAGGCAGGCTAATATCTTTGGCTATACATTTTAATATCTGGCTATGAATATTGTCAACGCCACTAGCTTTGTCTTTCAATTCGTGGATAACTTTTTCTATTTCAAATTTATTAGTAGGTAATAAAAATATACTATTACAATTATATTCAACAGTTTTTTCAAAATTAGTTTCATTATTTTTACCTAGCCTACTCGCAAGATTTTCACCAACATTAGTAAAAAAGTCAACAAAACTATCAGCAATTAATTTTTTATCTGAAACAATTTCATCATCGCTAATAATATAATCAATATCTTTAGCTCGATTATTTTTTTCAAGCTTACTATTTACATAATTCCACAGTTTTTTACTATCATTACAATAATTTCTGACTTTTTTAGATTCAAAGTTACTTTTGGCTAATTTAATTGTTTTGTTAAGAATTTTACAGTATGTATTATATTGACTTTTAAGTTCCGCGTTATCCCTGTCTAAATTCCAAATATTATATAGTTGCTCTTTAATCTTACATGAAACCATAATGCCCTGAGTTATCCATTGACTACGTGGCTTATTTTTGTTTTTTTTTTTTATTTCTGATTTTAAACTTAGCATCACTAACTAAAGACTTAATACTATCAGTGAGTACATTGAAAAATTTATCAGGGTCTTGTATTTCAAGTAATGTCGACCAATTAAATTCACTACTAAGAATAGCAAGATGGTTGTAATTTATAGGAGCAATACCATTGTTGCAATTATTATTACTAATATTACTATTATTGCTTTTAAGATGATCAAAACTGACAAAGATCGGAAAGTGATCAGTAAAAGTATTAGTATAAGTAAAGGACTTTAAATTACATAGGTTAGATTTGATAAAGAAGTTATCAATACAAGTTCCACCAGAATCATTTGGTCTGGTTACACCATTGAAATGTGGTAAATAACCTCTGTCTAGAAAATTTGACAGAAAGTCATTTGCTAAAAGATCTGTTGACAACAAATTTATGTTAAAGTCACCAACTATAGCATGATTTTTGCCATGACTATTTAACTTAATGTATTCGTATGTTGCCTTAAGAAAATCTTTCTTGCTCACATCATGACATCGATACACACCAGATATTTTAAAAACACTACCATCATTCAGTTTAATTTTAGTAGACATAAACTTTACTTGTCCCGATACTTCAATCGACGTGCTAAATTGTAGATTTTTCTTAATATACATAACAACTCTGTCGGCTTTATTGACATTACTATGATTATAATAACAACTGTATTCATCAAGGTGAAAAAAAGTAAAACAGGGTAGTTGCCAAGTCTCGGAACATATTATGACTTCAGGTTTGACACTTAAGTTACGAATAAAAATTTCAAGATTTTCAAAATTAGAATTTAGTCATCTGACATTGAGATGCAGTATCAGTAAGTTATCATGACATAGAAATTTATTTAAGCTGCAAAGATCACTAAAGTTTTCTTCAATAGAAGAATTATTATCCTCCATTGATAATAAACTATTGATTTTGATTTATCAATCTATTTCCTACATTACCAATTGAATTTGGTAAAATAGGTTTGATGGGATAATCAGTTTCATTGATAATCTTGTTCAGTTTGTACTTGAGATATTCGCAGCACGTATCTGTAGCGCAGTGACCGGTAGTTTAGCTCTATCTTTTTTGAATTTATCATTGTAGAAAACACAGTTTATGCACTTTTTAGATTGGCTTGTACACATTTTAGTAAGATGGCTACCAGCACATATTAGACATCTGATTTCATTACTACAGTTTTTATGCTTGTGGTTTGATCTACCACATTTATAGCACAGGTTGAAATTAAAATAATCAAAAATTCTACAGCACTGATGAGCAACGTACAGTCTAAAGCCATTATTTTTTAAATGTAGATAAGACTCACAAGTTATTTCTAAGATAAGAGTACGATTATCAGCACGACCCTTATAATCAGCAATTATGTTAAATGCACCATCAATCTCAAGAAAGTTACGATTGTAAATATCATCACACAGTTCATCCTTAGTTAAGTCACAATCAACATTAATAACCTTAATTTTTGGTAGATTTAGCTGCTCCAGTTCAACACTAAAATCAAGGCCAAGTTTATCACTCAGCACAGATCTCACTCTGGACACATCAATATTGTTTTTACATTTAATAGCCACATGACCCTCTTTATTTTCTTTGACCGTGTTTATAGGAATAGCAAGATCACAAGTTAATTTGTTTTTAACCTTAGCTAAAGTTTGAGGATTTTTAATATTCTCTTTCGGTTTTACATAAATATTAGGTACTCGATCAGCATTATTTGGTTCACTTTTAGCTACACTAGCATACAACAGATCACTCACTTGATTATTTACCTTATTAACAATACTATCCAGTAGTTTGTTTTTACTTTTTAGTTCACTATTTAATTCTTTTAAAAGTTCATTTTCCATCCTCAACATGGACAGTTCATCAAGCTCCGTTGAATCAGTAATTTCCTGGTTATGTTTAGACGAATTTAACGACAAATTGTGACATAGGTCATTTCTAAGTTCCTCTTTATGAAACAATTTAATCTGTGCAATTATTTGTCGAGCATTTTCATCCAATATGTTATTTAAATTCACATTAGATTTGTTGGTTATAGCGTCCATTTGATGTTTTGGACATATTACTAGCATTTCACTTATATATCTGCCCTTGGAATGTTTATTAAAATGAGCCTCATGATAAACATTTTCACACACAAGACAAATAACTATTTTAGGCACTTTCATGTTGGAATGACACTTAAAAACTTTGCACGTATCGGAAACCTGTTGCTTTCTGTCCGCCATCTTGACGAAATATATAGTGCTTTGTAAACATTAAGAAGGGTGTCTTTATCAGCTCTCCAGTTTTTTGATGCTAGAGATCATATGATAGCAAGTTTCTGGTGACATTTACGTTTAAGGTGGTCGATGTGTGCATTCCATTTGAGTTTAATGTCGAAGTACATCCCAAGAATTTTGGGGCATGTTGTTTCTCTGAGGGGAACCTTATTTAGTGTCAGTCTAGGGTGGGTCAACTGTTTCTTTTTATTGGAGAAAACCAGACATTCGGTTTTGAAATATCACCATTGAGATATCTGAGATATCAATCACCATTGAGATATCTGGTTGAGTGCATCTTGGAGAAGGTCGCAGCAGTTATTTACTTGAGTGCCTGAGCAGTAGATCATTAAATCATCAGCGTATAAGAGTCCCTTGACAGGGGCAGGGATGCAGTCAATAATATCGTTTATGGCAATTAAGAATAGTGTAACACTGAAAACAGATCCTTGAGGCACTCCATTGACAAGATTTTTCTTTAGAGATAACGCGTTATTAATTTTAACTTGGATGAATCGATCCTTTAAGAAGTTTTGAATATATTCTAAAATATTACCTTTGAAACCGATTTGAATCAGAATTGTTACTATACGGTGCCTCCATATTATATCGTAGGCTTTTTGAATGTCTAATGTCACCACCACTACTTGGAGGTGATTAAGCAGGGCATCGCTTATGTATTCATTGAGTTGGACTAGAGAGTGGAAGGTTGAGTGAAATTTGCGAAAGCCATTTTGGGCTGGGGAGAACCATTTTGCTTCCTCTAGTGTCCAGGTGAGCTTTTTATTTATGATTTTCTCCAGGATTTTGCCAAGGTTGCACGTTAAGGAGATAGGCCGGTAATTGGTTGGATTAGAGTGATCTTTGCCTGGTTTAGGTATAGGAATGACGGTGGCGATTTTCCAGATGTCAGGGAACAAGTTCATAGTCCATATTTTGTTGTATAAGTTAAGCAAATATTGCTTGCTCTGTAGGGACAGGTGTTTAATTATGACGACAGGCAGGTTGTCTGGTCCAGGGCAGGAGTTTTTACATGACGAAAGGACTTCCTCCAGCTCGGTCATAGTTAAAGGATTGTTAATTTGTGATAGATGATCAGGATGATTGGTTATTTGTTTTGGATTGTGCATGTATGACCAGTTGGTAGACGGATCGGACTCGCTTGACTTTTTAAATTGTAGGAAAGATTCAGTAAAGTTGTCATCACTGGAGTTGAATGAGAATGTTTCGGCAAGAAGTTCAGCTTTTTCTTCGGGTGATGTGTGTACTTTGTTGTTAGAGTCGAAGAGGGTAGGTGTGGTGTGGAACGCTCGAGATTTATCAATACATTCAATTTTCTTCCATATTTGGCTGTTTGGTGTACGATTGTTGATAGTAGAAACAAAGTGCTGCCATGAGGATCTTCGTGACTCTTTAAGTTCTCTTCTAGCTATGGCTCGGAGTTTTTTAAATTCTATTTTGAGGTCTGGGTCGTCTTTGTTTTTTTGTAATTTGTTGTATGAACGTCTTTTTTCGGTAATAGCGTTTTTGGCCTTTTCAGAACACCATTCGTATGATTTCTTCTTAGGATTAAGTGAGGATTTAGGTATGCTCTCGTCGGCCGCTGATATGATAGCTTGTACGAAATTGCATACCAGAGTATTAATATCGATGTCAGAGTTATCGTGTAGTTGAAGTGATTTTATGTTTTTTTCTGAAATTGTTGTAAATTGTGGCCAATTGGCTCTATGAAAGATCCATTTAGGTTCACTTGAAGTTATTTTATAAGCATTGTCTGGTCCCACGAGTATATGGATCGGAAAGTGATCACTATCGTATGGGTCATCATCAACATACCAGGAGATTTCATCTGTAAGGCTAGGGCTAGAGAATGATAGGTCAATATTGCTTAGCGAGCCGGTTGCTATGCAGTAGTGGGTTGGAGTTCCGGAGTTGAGTAAGTTTAAGTTACTGTTATCTGCCCACTCTTCTATTATTTTCCCCCTGTGGGAGTCCATTTTTGATGAACCCCATATTGGATTATGGCTGTTGAGGTCACCCATGAAGATACGTGGAGAAGTTAGTTGATCAGTAATGTTGTATAGGTCCTGCGAAAAGAGTTTATAGCTGTTAGGAATGTAAGTGTTGCATAGAGTGATGGTTTGAGGGCAGTGAATGGTGACAGCAATTAGTTCGATGTTGTTGTTCTGAATCTGGGTTTCTACAGCACTTATATTTGACTTAACATATGTGGCTATGCCACCGCTAGCGTGATCAGTGTTGGTTCTATTTCTATTGAAGCATTTGTATCCTCTTAGTTGCGTGGAGTAGTTGTTTTTAAAGTTAGTTTCTTGTAAACAAATAATATCTGGATTATATTTTTCTATTAGGAGTTTCAGGTATTCGTATTTTGCTGAAAAGCCATCAAGATTCCATTGGACAATATGCATAATGATATGTTACAGGGTTTGAGGTTATGTATCAAGTTCTAGATTAGAGGTATCATCTTCGGATATGACCTGAGCTTTGGATTTCTCCGTTTCTGAACTGGTAGACATATCGTATTCAATATTATATTCCTCTATAATTTTTTTCCTGAGCTTCGTGAAATTTGTTTTCATTTCCCGAGATGATAGAAGCTTGTAAAGGTCTGAAAGCATGTTCACTATTTGTAGAGGGTCTTATTTAAATTCGTCAACAATGTTCCTGACTTGTCTTTGGCCTTTAGTTCTGTCATAGAGGTTCTGTAGTTGGCTGTAACTGCATGGGTAATTAGTAGGGTTATTTAACATTTCATTGAGGACTTTAGGTGGAATTTTTAGAGGGTCACTGGGTTTAATAAATTCCTCTTCTTTTTTTTTTTAGGGAAGTATCTTACTCGGGTTAACTGTTTTAATCGTGTTTGATTCAGAAGAAACCGATTGTGTAGAGGGTTCGGAGTGTTCGAGCGGTCTTTTAGCGCTTGGAGTAGTCAAGAGTGTCGAAATTTTGTTACTTGTGGGTGGTGTGCTATTGGGGGATGTTTCGGGAGAGCCATTTGTTTGTTGTTCAATGGGATTAGGAGCTTGTTTGTGGTGTTGTTCGGTGCTTATTTCAGGATTTTCTGGGGAGAGTTTGGTGGAGGGGCAATTTTTTGACAAATAATCTTCATTGTGACAAACAAAGCATGTCGGTGAGTCGGTGGTTGGGTAGATATTGTAGCTGTTGTCCTCGAAGTGGATTTGTAATATTTCTGGTATCTTGATGACGTCGTCGGCTTTAATGTAAACTTGCCTGCGAAAACTCATAATGTGTGAGAAGCGAGGTTCGTTAAGCCCGATACGAAGGAAAGAGAAAGAAGAAGTAATTTTGATGTTTAGTTTGAGTAATTGTTCAGCAATGTAGCTGTGAGGGATTATCGGAGGCACGTTTGATAGTATAATACGTTTGTTTTTGTTTATCAGTGCACGGATATTTAATGTCTGTGATCCGATCATAATCGTTTTGTGCGTCTCAACAAATTCTTGTACTAATTCCTTCGTTGCAAGATAAATACACAGACGACTGTTAGAGATTTTTAATGCGAATCTGATATTTTCAGGAGCTGTTTTTTGTGCAATGGCTTTAATATAGTCTTTAACTGAAAAATCTGTTACTGAGTCAATCAGGATGGCATTGTCTTTAGTAGGGAAGAATTCACTTTTGGTCGCGTTAGCGTAACCGCTGTTGAGGGTCGTCATTTTGAAGGACACTCTCTGTAGTCAGAGAGCACTAACTTTAAGGCGTAGAAGACCAGCGGTGGGCGAAGATTTGCACCACCCCAGAATTTAACTTTTGGTGTTAACTATTTTATTTTTAATGAACAATTTACACAAATGAAACAACACTGGATTAGCTGCGCACACAAGACTATTATCACACTGTACGATACTCGTAGACCGATACGTGTTGTCAGTTCGACGTGTGAACGAAGACTGTGGTTTTTTTTATTTAATTATTATTTAAAGTCGGTTTACATATCTTTGAAATTTCTTTTTGGATCATTTTCGATGAAATGAAATAATTATTAAAGCCAAAAAAACCACGTCGATCGCCACCAAGAACTTGAAAATCGGTTGATTGGTTCGTGAGTTATCGTTGTCGAAAAAATTCGGAAAAAGTGAATTTTTTTAATTTCTCTAAGATGATCGGTTTGATCAGTTGATGTTTAAAAGTATATCATAGAATTTGAAAACTGCATGAAATGCTGAAAACCGCGTGAAAATCGGTTCATTCTTTCTGAAGTTATTGCGATTTAAAATTTCAAAAAATACTGTTTTATTAAACATTCATCAGACTTTTGAGCTCAAACCGCTCAAAAGCTTAGAACAGCTAACTCTTTGAGCTCGGAGAGCTTGAAATAATACATAATTTATATTTTTGAGCTCGAAAAGTTCAAAAACGTCATTAGTGCGATTTTAAGCGCTTAGATATGGAATTAGCGGGAAGTTACAGGGATGGCCTTTAGGGTCAATTGTTTTCCAGATTTATTTTGTATAATACCTTGTACTGATCTTAAAAGATCCTGAAATTTTTAGAACTGTGTTTTTTTTATTTAAATATGAATTTTTAAATCTCAAAAAAAAAGTTTTTTTTGTTTTTTGCAGCTTCTAAATAAGGTAAAGTTATGCAGATACATAGTATTGTAATTTTGAGCATTAATAAATTAAATGCATGACGTGGAAATATTAAATAATAAATTTATTATTATTATTTTATTATTTATTTAATTGCTTTTTAAAAGTACATAAGTCTTTCTTACAGCAATGAGAGAGGCGCTAAATTTACAGTTAATAAATATTTTTTTTTTTTTTTAGATAAGTAAAAGTATAAATACAAAATACAAAATAAAATAATATAGAGTAACATTCGTAACATTGGATAAAAATTAAAATTTTAAATTAAGTTACATAAACAAAATTTTATATATATTTAAATAAACAAAATTACATATATATAAAATAACTGAGATCAAGTCAGGCCAATTCAGACACTATTGCGGTAGTTTTATGCAGGAGCTTCTGTTGTGAGAAGAGTTCTGAGCTTCAGAGCTCTTGCGATGAAGTTTGTCAGGTCATCTAGCTGGGATCTGGACTTAATTGCTAAGATTTTTATAATTCTTAGCGCACTAGAAGAAGTAGCTGAATCTGATGTAGGTGTATGCAGATACTTTTGCCTAAGGTCGTTATAAGCCGGGCAGTGTAGAAGAATGTGCTCAACAGTTTCCAGACCTAAATTACAGGAACCGCAGATTTGATCAGGTTTCAGAAAGTAGCAGGTTCTATTGCACGAGATTTTGCACCGAAAGACATTAGCGAGTCTTAGTTGAGCTACAATACGTTTTAGACCGATTGGACATCTACTTTGGACATACCACGGAGCAACATCGGCGCAGGTTCTGATCAATTGAGACTGAGGACTGGTGGAGCACAAATATCTGTCCAAATCAATGTTTTTAAGATGCTCTGCGTATAGATTCAGAAATAGTTTCTTTTTTCCCATCCAGAAACTTGGTTGTAGGTTGTCCAGCATACCTTCAAAGTTGCATAATTTTAAGATTTGTTCGAGTTTAGTTACCCAGTTGAATTTGGGATCCTTACTCGGACTCTTTGAGAGATAAAGTAGTCGCATAAAACAAATTCGAGGCCAACGATTGGAGTCCATCTTCAAGATGCTGATGATCCAGTTCCAGACATACTCCATTAGTCTACCGGAGAGGCTGGTAATTCCAAACTCAAGTCTGAGTGAGTACCCAGGAGTGTTCTGGGGTAGCAGAAAAATTTGTTTCAAGAAGCGATTCTGGGCTTTTTCAATGTCCTCCAAGTGTTCAAGACCCCAAACTTGGGCTGCATACAGGAGTGACAGAGAAATAATACTGTCGAATAGTTTTATTTTGGTTTGCCAAGCATCGGATTTGGATCTTGCTAGTAGAGAGTTTACGGTGCCTATGGCGGATTGAGCTTTAGTCACTGCATCATCTGCTGTTTGTTGACTTTTTGTATTTCCACTGATGATGGAGCCGAGATATTTGTAGCTTGTTACCACCTTCAGCTGTTTAGATTTATAAGAAAAGGCGCATTTTTCATTATTATGTATTCTTCCGGATCGTCTGCAGATCATTACTTCGGTTTTGCTGGTGTTGACGGAGAGGCAATTTAACTCGAAATATTCTTCCAGAGCTTGTAACGGGGTGTTTTTTATTTCCGCCGTTCAATAGTGGCCTAAATTATTAGTTAGATGTTAACTCCAAATACCATGAGACTATTATATAAGATGTAAAATTAAAGCGCCACCAGGTTGTTACAACGGTGTCCTGGAAACCGTAAGAGACATGAGAGATAATCTACAGGGTAGAGAGATTTAGGAAATTATCTGGAAATGAATAAAATCAATAATTCGTGGTTACCAATTATTTATTTAACAATATCACACTCTCACGCACTCTATAAATTCTATTGCCAAATTTTCCATAACAAAATTACTTAACTAATACCCGCGAAACAGAGGGGAAACCGTACCATAATTCACGGGTACGAGGACCACATGACCTCCACTTTTCCGTTACCGATATCCGAATTACCAATTAACCGATTTTATTGTAAACTTCTGATATAAAGGGAAAACTTTACCATTTACCAGAAGCTACTCGTCAACTCTCTCACTCTATTACCAAAATTCGGGAAACTTCTGATATAGAGGGAAAACCGTACCATTTACCAGAAGCTCCTTATCTATTGTCTCACTCTCTATCACTCATAACCCAAACTGAATTAATTAAAAATAAAATCTTAATTTATCTAACCGAGTTAACAAAAATGTCCGGTGACTACTATATATATTACTATATATATTTCAGCTTTACTATATATATTTCTTAGAAGCCTGAGAAACTTGCCGCTGACTCCAAGGCGGAATAGCTTCTTCCATAAAAGATGATGAGGTCAAAGTCGAAAGCTCTTCTAAAATCAAAGAAAATACAATAGAGGATATTACCATCAAGTCTAAGCTTCATTTGTATCACTGCGTTCAACGTGAAGATTTGGTCCAGGCAACCTCTGTTTTTTCTAAACCCCGTTTGCTCTTCAGGGAGAATTTGGCAGTTCTCAAGCCACCTGTCTAAGCAACGCTGAAGAATGCTCGTTAAGATCTTGAAAATATTATTAATAAGAGCAATTCCTCTGTAATTTGAGGGTTCTTCTTTCTTTCCTTTTTTGTAGAGCATGGACAGAGACGCAGTGACCCATTGCTCTGGAACATCTTCTTTGATCCGGCAGATATTGAGTAAGGTTTCTAAGTACATAAACCAATTGTAAGGGAGATTTTGGAGAAACTCATTTGTTATTGCATCTAGACCAGGTGCTTTATTTTTCTTGCTTCTCTTTAGAGCTAGACTCACCTCATCGCGGGAAATATCTTCATCAAGGTATGGATGACGGGCATCGTAGTAATCAGTGTAGTCCAAGATTCGAGGATTATAGGGTCATTCCACGTCAAATCGACCAATAGTTGGACTCGACCCCTTTCGATTTGGATGAATTTTGGTCAGAAGTTTTCTTTTATCCTATAACGAAGTTCTGCCAAAGGAAAAAAATTAAAAAAATTTTTTTCAAAAGTTATGCAAAATCCAAAATTTCACTATTTTCCATATTTTTTAAATTTATGTTTCAAAAATCTCGAAAACTATTGCAATTAAAAAAATCGCTTATGGTAAACTTCAAAGGGGACACTTGGGGCTATTAAAAAAAAAAATTTCCAAAAAAAAATTTTGAAAAATCTCCAATTTGTGAAATTTTGAATTTTTGAAAATTGTCAAAATTGACCGTCAACAATAAATTTTTGGCTCAAATTTTTTTGTGTACTACCTTGTACCAATCTTAAAAGATCCTGAAATTTTTGGAACTGTGTTTTTTGTTTTTTCAAAAATATGAATTTTTGAAATTTGTTAAAAAAAAATTTTTTCTTAATTTTTTTTTTTTTAATCAGTTTGGCAAATCGCGTAATTTTGATATTTTGAACAGTTGAAATTTCATTTAGTGGCATAATGATGAGAAAAAAAACATTAATGATATTTGTTTATTATTGGTTATTAATTTATTTAATAGGGCTTTTTACGTGTAAGTTTACTTGACATTCTGTTACGAAAATTTTTTTTCCTTCAATTCTCAGTACTGTTGTTGCTCCTTTTTAAGCAATTTTGATAGGATCCGTTGTATAGACGCCAAGTGGGGTACAGCGGTAGTAAGGTAGAAACTGCAGTATAGTCGCTCCATAAGAGGGTACTGTGGGATTAAGCAATTTTGATAGGATCCGTTGTATAGACGCCAAGTGGGGTACAGCGGTAGTAAGGTAGAAACTGCAGTATAGTCGCTCCATAAGAGGGTACTGTGGGATTAAGCAATTTTGATAGGATCCGTTGTATAGACGCCAAGTGGGGTACAGCGGTAGTAAGGTAGAAACTGCAGTATAGTCGCTCCATAAGAGGGTACTGTGGGATTAAGCAATTTTGATAGGATCCGTTGTATAGACGCCAAGTGGGGTACAGCGGTAGTAAGGTAGAAACTGCAGTATAGTCGCTCCATAAGAGGGTACTGTGGGATTAAGCAATTTTGATAGGATCCGTTGTATAGACGCCAAGTGGGGTACAGCGGTAGTAAGGTAGAAACTGCAGTATAGTCGCTCCATAAGAGGGTACTGTGGGATTAAGCAATTTTGATAGGATCCGTTGTATAGACGCCAAGTGGGGTACAGCGGTAGTAAGGTAGAAACTGCAGTATAGTCGCTCCATAAGAGGGTACTGTGGGATTAAGCAATTTTGATAGGATCCGTTGTATAGACGCCAAGTGGGGTACAGCGGTAGTAAGGTAGAAACTGCAGTATAGTCGCTCCATAAGAGGGTACTGTGGGATTAAGCAATTTTGATAGGATCCGTTGTATAGACGCCAAGTGGGGTACAGCGGTAGTAAGGTAGAAACTGCAGTATAGTCGCTCCATAAGAGGGTACTGTGGGATTAAGCAATTTTGATAGGATCCGTTGTATAGACGCCAAGTGGGGTACAGCGGTAGTAAGGTAGAAACTGCAGTATAGTCGCTCCATAAGAGGGTACTGTGGGATTAAGCAATTTTGATAGGATCCGTTGTATAGACGCCAAGTGGGGTACAGCGGTAGTAAGGTAGAAACTGCAGTATAGTCGCTCCATAAGAGGGTACTGTGGGATTAAGCAATTTTGATAGGATCCGTTGTATAGACGCCAAGTGGGGTACAGCGGTAGTAAGGTAGAAACTGCAGTATAGTCGCTCCATAAGAGGGTACTGTGGGATTAAGCAATTTTGATAGGATCCGTTGTATAGACGCCAAGTGGGGTACAGCGGTAGTAAGGTAGAAACTGCAGTATAGTCGCTCCATAAGAGGGTACTGTGGGATTAAGCAATTTTGATAGGATCCGTTGTATAGACGCCAAGTGGGGTACAGCGGTAGTAAGGTAGAAACTGCAGTATAGTCGCTCCATAAGAGGGTACTGTGGGATTAAGCAATTTTGATAGGATCCGTTGTATAGACGCCAAGTGGGGTACAGCGGTAGTAAGGTAGAAACTGCAGTATAGTCGCTCCATAAGAGGGTACTGTGGGATTAAGCAATTTTGATAGGATCCGTTGTATAGACGCCAAGTGGGGTACAGCGGTAGTAAGGTAGAAACTGCAGTATAGTCGCTCCATAAGAGGGTACTGTGGGATTAAGCAATTTTGATAGGATCCGTTGTATAGACGCCAAGTGGGGTACAGCGGTAGTAAGGTAGAAACTGCAGTATAGTCGCTCCATAAGAGGGTACTGTGGGATTAAGCAATTTTGATAGGATCCGTTGTATAGACGCCAAGTGGGGTACAGCGGTAGTAAGGTAGAAACTGCAGTATAGTCGCTCCATAAGAGGGTACTGTGGGATTAAGCAATTTTGATAGGATCCGTTGTATAGACGCCAAGTGGGGTACAGCGGTAGTAAGGTAGAAACTGCAGTATAGTCGCTCCATAAGAGGGTACTGTGGGATTAAGCAATTTTGATAGGATCCGTTGTATAGACGCCAAGTGGGGTACAGCGGTAGTAAGGTAGAAACTGCAGTATAGTCGCTCCATAAGAGGGTACTGTGGGATTAAGCAATTTTGATAGGATCCGTTGTATAGACGCCAAGTGGGGTACAGCGGTAGTAAGGTAGAAACTGCAGTATAGTCGCTCCATAAGAGGGTACTGTGGGATTAAGCAATTTTGATAGGATCCGTTGTATAGACGCCAAGTGGGGTACAGCGGTAGTAAGGTAGAAACTGCAGTATAGTCGCTCCATAAGAGGGTACTGTGGGATTAAGCAATTTTGATAGGATCCGTTGTATAGACGCCAAGTGGGGTACAGCGGTAGTAAGGTAGAAACTGCAGTATAGTCGCTCCATAAGAGGGTACTGTGGGATTAAGCAATTTTGATAGGATCCGTTGTATAGACGCCAAGTGGGGTACAGCGGTAGTAAGGTAGAAACTGCAGTATAGTCGCTCCATAAGAGGGTACTGTGGGATTAAGCAATTTTGATAGGATCCGTTGTATAGACGCCAAGTGGGGTACAGCGGTAGTAAGGTAGAAACTGCAGTATAGTCGCTCCATAAGAGGGTACTGTGGGATTAAGCAATTTTGATAGGATCCGTTGTATAGACGCCAAGTGGGGTACAGCGGTAGTAAGGTAGAAACTGCAGTATAGTCGCTCCATAAGAGGGTACTGTGGGATTAAGAAATTTTGATAGGATCCGTTGTATAGACGCCAAGTGGGGTACAACGGTAGTAAGTTAGGTGTTAGAGAGCTACAGGGGCTTCCTGGCTTACGTTGCAGTCACTAGGCTGTTGCTTCTGTAGCAAGGCGTTGTTGATAAGCCCTCGTGCACTGAAGTCTTTGTACGAGGTGTCTTATTGACAAGTAGATATAAGCGGTGATGTGGAGTTGAGTGGAGTAGTTATAAGTGAGTAGTTGTAAGTGAGTAGTTGTAAGCGAGTTGGGAGTATGTACAAGTGTACGAGTTGTTATTTTATTTGTTTAACCGCTAGAAAAGAGATCTAGTCAAATACTTATAAGAAGAATTACGCCTTCGGGCTTAATTGTTAAAACTCGGGAATAATCGTATGAACTCGGGAATAATCGTATCACGCTATGGCCGTCGCGCATGCGGGCCTTGGTTAGCGGTAGAGAAGCCGGCTCGCGTGGTCTGCTGCAACAGTTGTGCTTGGACTTTTGTACTAGTACGACTACTCTGTGCTAATCAATTTGATAATTCTTACTTACATCTCATATTCATTCAAATATTTAAATCATTCATTAAATATACATAATTATAGTAGATTCAATTATACTTTAAATTCTCAATTGATTTAAATCAGTTTAATAGTTCAGTGAATTAAAATAACTAAAATCAAAGTAGATTTAATTAGTGACGCCACGCAGCAATTACGCGCCATATTCACAAAGTATTGCATCAGCCACGCGGCTTTAGTCAATCCATAATTGACGCGTGATATTAACCATTAATTACATTGAATTAATTATTGACATTTAATTACGATCTTATTTCATTTAACTTATAAATAATTAAATTCCAATTTCAAATCATTTGACTAATTTCTACACGAAATTATCAGACTCAATTGACTAACATTCTGTTATCAGTTGAATATTATTAGCTCTCACCTTGAGACAATTCATCTAATTAATTGAACATTATTAGCTCTCGCCTTGAGACAGTTCATCTAATTAATTAGATATTACTAGCTCCCGCCTTGGGACAGTACAAATTCAAATTATCGATAATTTTCTTTATACGGCGGCTGAGCTCACCCCTATTGCGTTATTGCAACGTAATTTTACACATTCACACTTACACACATACAATTTGCTTGTATAATTTTCATCAAGGAGGTTTTTTCCCAGCCTAGCTGGGTTTTCCTCCTTTGGGGACAAATAAACCATCTAAATTGTTCTCCAAAAAATCCAAGTATTTTTATTTAACCTCCTAATCCTAATTTCATCATAATTTTAAAACAATTACGAGGAATATCCGCGTTGGATAGTTTTCGACAAAACATTGTAAAAAAATTTTTTATTGAAATTTAAATTATTTTACCCCATCAAAGTTGAAGCGAACAACTATTTTAATAACTTAGAAATTGTTATAACTTCTAAGCTATTGATGCCACGGTCTTTGAATTTCAGGACGATCTTTTAGGCAATTTATTAATTTATATAATAAATTTTTTATATGCTCGATATCTATTATGGTTCAATTTTTATACATATTTGTTTATAAAAAAATGCATTACTTAAATCATTAAATGATTC